GGCCACCATGTGGGGGCTGACAGTAGAACATGGGTCTTCTGTAAGAGCAGTGAGTGCCATGAGCCATCTCCAGCCCTCAGAACTCTTTTTTAAAAATTTACATTATTTATTTTGTGCATATATAAGTGTGTATAAACGTGTCAAGATCAAAGGACAGCACAGTTTACAGAGGTTTCCTTACACCCTGTATCCCAGAGACCATCTCAGGTTGGCAGGCTTGGTGACAAGAGCCTTTGTCCCTGAGTCTTCGTAGGCCCTTAAAGAAACTGAAGAAGAGTTTACAGTTTTCTTCGAATGGTTTCTGTGCATGTCTCTGAACATTCCCACCTGGTCTTTTCTGTTCTGTGCTGTTGTGTTTTCAGTCAGGTGGTTGGTGGCGGTGGGAAGGAAGTGACCTTGAGACCAGATGTCTAGCACTTAGACTTCCGTGATACAGGCCTGTTTGTCTCTCAAGAGGTCCTGGCCCACCCATGTCTTCCTTCCCTGGATTTTGGAGCTGAAACTAATTTTCATTCATTTTAAGCCTCTCTTTCCCTTTCAGCAAGGTTTGGAGAGGCGAAAGCAAATGCTGGGGTACGCTTAATGCGTTGGAAAGCAAACTCAGTTCACGGAGTGTGTTGTGAAAATGTCACCTGTTCTCACACATCTGACCCCCGCAGTGCGCTGTGGAGTGTGGGCTGGGCTGCCCCTTGCCTCAGCCTCTGGTACAGGCGACAGACACCCTGTGGTGCCTCTGCTCAGGTAGTCTCTGGCTGCCTGTGCCCGCCTGTCCTCTGTGGACAGTGTCGCGCCTCCTCCAGGTACTTGTTAAGAAGGTGCAGGCCCTAGGACAGTGCTCATGTTGTTTGCCAAGGAGACCTTGGATTGGGTTTCCAGATCCACCATCCTGCTCCTGGCCTTGTGGTTTCTAGAAGAGGAACTTGGTCCCAGGAGGAGTGGCCGATAAGAACAAGAGCCTCATTGTGAGCCAGGCCAGCACCAGGTACCCCAGCTCAGGGCTCTCTGGTTAAAGAGCTCCCACCTAGGCTTCATGTGTAGGAAAATGCACCCCTTTACTGTACGCCCTATAGGTTCAGGATCTGCATTGGCAAGGGTCACTGTGTGGGGGCATGGACACGGTGGGGGCCCTGGGCAGCTTGGGTGTTGGAGGAGACTTGGCTACACAGATGCATAGATACAGAGATGCAGAGAGACATCTCTGCGCTTGGTAGGTAGTAGTGCTATCCTTCTCCTTCAGGTCCCATTGATGGCGTAGTCCCAAGGCAGATGTTCTGTAGATCACTAAGATCAAGCACGTGATTGAGCGAGGGCCTGTAGAGTTGGAGAGGTACCAGAACATTGGATTCCAGACACCACATCCTTAATGCAGAAGGGAAACTTCTTCCCAGCTTCTGGAAGGGAGAGGCAGCTCACAAGGATGTCTGGGGACTTCGAGGCTGTCTGGGGTATCTCGGCCTGACCTCACCCACCTCACTCTCATTCCTGTTTCTCAAGCTGTCTTTAAAGTCTCTTGGCCACAGCAGATCTGACTCATAGTCAGATCAAGAGGGCCCATGCTTGTGACTTTTTATTTTTATTTTATTTTATTTTTTTGAGACAGGGTTTCTCTGTGTAGCCCTGGCTATCCTAGAACTAACTCTCTCTGTAGACCAGATCCTCCTGTCTCCCTCTCAGTGCTGGAATTAAAGGGATGTGCCACACTGCCCGGCTGCTTTTTTCTCTCAAGATGGATGGTGCTGGTGGAGTAGGTATAAGCAGAGCAGGCTCAGGCTCCTCCCCAGTGGTCTTCCACACGGCTTGCGGGTGAGCCAGCACGGAGCCTGCTGCGGTGCGGTGACTGAGACAGCGTGTCCCAGCTCGCCCTGCATGCAGAGCTCTTCCTCCCACCCTGTTGGGATCCATTCTTGTACTTATTTGTACACTCTTGTAGTTGGTCATGCCTGGGTGTGTGTGTTTTTTTGAAACAGCCCCCACTGACTTAGGAAAAAGTGGTTATTCTGCCTTCTCCGTGGGGTCTGTATGGCGGCCCGTTCATCTCAGGCCATCCCGTGGTTTCCTGAGCCACAAGTGTTGAGGAGCACTCTGAATGCTTGGAAGGAGCCCAGAGCCACATCTGGGCTTTCCACCCCCCCAATCTCCCGGGGAGCCCCACACAAGGCCAGACTCTTGTTATGATCGGAGAAAGACTTGGGGTTGTTCTGTGGTTCTGATAGCAGCTGCCACGGCGCTCTTAAGGAATTACGTCATGAGAACTGCTTTTGTTCTTGCACTGTTGGGGTTTCCAGGGAGGGTTAGCAGCAAGAGTGTGTTTATGTGTGCATGAGGGGAAGGGATGGGGGAGGGTGGAGAGGGAGACGGAGGGTGGGAAGAATGGGATTTGTGTACAGGCTGATTTGTCCAAACCTAAAAAGCTGGTAGTCCCTTGATCCAGACTCCATGAATGTAGTGCCAGGGAGGAGGCCACAGAAATCACTGGGGCCTTGGTTGGTAGATCAGTGCTTACCATGGTTTATGAAAGAGCTTTGGGAGCCCATTCCATATAGACAGATGCTCTCTCAGCCTGGTCACATGGGGAAGGGCCTAGGTCCTGCCCAGGATGAAATGACAGACTTTAGAGACCCCCCCATGCTTTTCCTGTGCTGTGGGAGACAGCATCAGGGATATGTATGAGCCCAGGCCTGTTCAGGATTTGAATTCATGGGACCTCAGTTTCCTAGGAACCCAAGTAGCTCCTGCCTTCCAATGTAAGTGGTCTGTACCTCCTGGGACTCTTGTGGTAAGGGCATGAGCAAAATATACACCGCTTAGACAGTGCCTCCCCTAGAATTAATGCTGCCATTGTGTGTGCTGCCAGATGGGGCTGGGGAAGAAGGTGGGGCTGGCAAATGGGGCTGGGGAAGAGGTGGGGCTGGCAGCACCCCCCAACGTTTATATGTGTGTGCTCGTGCACGTGCATAATTGTGCCATGCCATGCATTTGCAGTCAGGAAACAACTTAAAGTGAATCACTTCTCTGCTTTCACAATGTGGGCCCCAGCGATTGAGCAAAGGTCCTCAGACTTGCTGGTGCATACCTTTACCCTCTGAGCCATCTCCCCGGCCATGGCAGCATCCTTTGGGAGAAGCAGGGAGCCACCAGGACAACTTCAGAGAGCTTCTGGTTTGGGCTGTACTCAGAAGGTTGGGGCCCAGGCCTGACTTCCCTGGGGAGACCCACAGAGCACCAGGCACATGTAGATAAGAGCAAAGCCTGCCTCAGCCTCGAACTTGGAGTGGACTGGTTGGGCTGGTTTGAGGCAGCCTAAGAGGCCTGACTCTAAATTGCTATGGCTGAGCTCATGAGCTGGCTTTATGTTTTTGTCTCTTTTGGGATCCTATTCTGGAGCTCCTGTGCCCCTCACAGGGGTTCTGTTGAAGGGTCCTGTCTGCCCTCTACCTGGCTCTGGGTCCCATCTCTTCTATAGTAATCAACATTTCCCTTCCCAGCTTATCATGCTGCTTACTCCATCAGGTGAGGTCCCATCATGAAGCTCAGGGTGCCTCATGTAATGTGTTGCAGCCGACAGTTCCGATCCCTCGTTTCCGTGCTGTTCTCGTCATTGTCCAGACTTAGAGCACTCTCATCACCTCAGAAGCACTCTGTGTCCAGGCTTCTCCTGCCATGGGCACTTTATTCCTATAAGTCTGCCATTTCTGGGAATTTCCTAAAATGGAATCGCACTGTACATTCCTTTGCATCTGATTTCTTCCACTAGCATAACATTTTTGAGGTTGCTGTGGCTTGTGCTATCATCTCGTTTCTTTTCATAGCTGAGTAGTAGCGAGCTGTGTGGCTAGGTCACACTGCCTTGGCATTCACTGGAGACAGACTCTGACCTGGTTCCAGCATTTGCTGTTAGGAGTGATGCTGCATTGGGCATCCTCTGTGTGTCTGGGATGTGCTCATTCCTTGCAGCAGATGCTGGGAACCAGTCAGGCAGCTGCCAAGTTATGTTCTGAAGCCACTGTGCCGTTTGCTCTCTCACCAGCAGAGCATGACGGTTTCAGCACAGTCCCCGGTCACTTGGTGTAGTCTGGTTTGGTTTGGTTTTTGTTGTTCTGATTCTGGCCATCCTATTGGGTATGAAGTTGTGTCTTTGTGGCTTTGCTTTGTGTTTCCCTAGGGGCTTTCCCCTTATTTACTCTGTGTGTGTGTGTGCGTGCGTGCGTGCGTGCGTGCGTGTGTGTGTGTGTGTCTGTGTGTCTGTGTGTCTGTGTGTCTGTGTGTCTGTGTCTGTGTGTCCCCGCCCATGGAGGCCCATGGAATTGGATCCCTGGAGCTAGAGTTTGAATGGGCGCTCGTCCTCTGGCAGTGGTACATGCTTTTAACCTCCGGGCATCTTTCCAGCCCCTCTAGGGTGGGTTTTTCTCATCTGCCCCAGACTCACCATGTCCTGAGTCAAGTATGTCACTCTCCCCCCAGACCTTTTCTGTCTCTCTGTCCCTTCCCTGATGACCATCTTTCAGTACCTTGTCGCAAACAGCTTGGTCTAGTCTGGCTGCTTTCACTTGCTCCGTAGGAGTTTTTTTGTGGGCTCTGCTCTTGCTGTCTCCCAGCCCGTTCCCCTTCAGTACTTCACCTCACAGCACCCAACCTCTGGTAACTGCAGCCAGCTTCCATTTCGTGCCTAGAACTCTCCTCTTTCCTGCTGAGAAGCTGCCGGTGGCCTTTGGAGTTCTGGGTGGTGACAGATGCTCTCTGGAGCCTGTACACCTGAGTGGTCCAGGAGAATAACCAGACCTGACATTCAAGGGGGTCTGGGTGATGCTGCTGCTGTATAGAATAAGCAAATGCACCAGAGCATGACCTTTATGTGCCTCAGTTTCCCTCCATAGAAAATGGGAAAGATTAAGAGGACTCTCTTGAGATAGTGGAAAGGGGAGTTAAAAGGACTCTCTTGGGATAGTGGAAAGGGGAGATGAGTTAGAGGAGTCCAGCACATGGCTCTTGATGGACACATTGTGGGATCAGTTGTGATGGCACACTATGGTATCTAGCTTCTTCATCAGCCTTCATCTTCCTTTGGAATGCATCTTCTGGGCCTGCGAGCACGGGGTACATCCTGGGGTGGCTGTACAGGTGGGACCCAGTGATCTGCAAGGGGAGGATGGCCAGGCGGGGATACGGCCCAGTGCTGCCAGAAGAGCCATGGATGCAGAATTCATACAGCTGTTGGACATTGGTAATTGATTTTGCATTTTCTAGATGTATGAGCACACACACACGTTTTTCATGGAGGGAAACGGACACCCAGGCTCTGTGGGCCAGCCTGAGCTTGAAGGCTGCCACCTCAGACCTTCTTCTCAGGTCTCCTGGGTGATCAGTTGGAGGCTGGCGTGGTTCTGTGGGGTCAGAGCAGGTTTTTATGGGTACCTTTGCCTTGCAGGCAGGTTATGTCACCAGCAGAGGTGGCACCGGAGCTCCCTGAGGCCTGGAGACTATGTACAAGAGGAATGGTCTGATGGCTAGCGTGCTGGTCACCTCTGCCACTCCACAGGTACGAAGGCTGTGGGAGGGTAGCGGGAGAGAGGGCCATGGTGTGGGCCCTGGCCATGAATACAGGCCTTCTTAGGGCCCGCCACTCCAGGCGGGAGGTTTGGGAGCCAGTCAACCCTGTGGAAGGTGGTGTTTTCTGAAGTTGTTCTCTTCAAAGAAAAGCAAATACCTCTCCAGTCCAGTCCAGCTATGGCAAGTGTCACATTCCATTTTGGTGGCAAGAAGGGATCAGACTTTTCCCAGGAAAACCCGCTGTTGATTATAAATAAGCCAAGTGTTCCAAAATGAGGTCAGACAGAAGCCAGTCCAACTGGCCCCTGAACTTATTTACCTTGCTTCTTAGGAAATGGCTGTAAGGACTGGTGGTCTGAGTGGCCTGGGCAGGGCTCTGTGTGGGGTCTGGGAATTGCTTTCCAAGCTCAATACTGGTACAGACACACAGGAGGAGGGGTGTCTTGTGAGGCTGGTGCCTCTGTGTCTGGGGTGTAGTGCTGGCTCCTCAGATGTGCTGGTGAAGCAGGGTTGGGTCTGAGCATTCCACAAGGGGTTTTGAAATTGCCTCAGACTAACCAATAAGAGGTCATAGGATCCAATTTCTTATCAGTTTTTTTTAATTCCTTGGTTTGATCTCTAGTCTTGAAATCACACTTAGGAATGCTTTTAAACTTTTTAAATTTTTATTTTTAAATCATATGTGTATGTTCACATGAGTGCAGTGCTCATGGAGGCCAGAAGAGGGCATCATATCCCCTGAGAACTGGAGTTACAGGCAGTGGTGAGTTTCCTGGTGTGGGTGCTTGGAACTGAACTGAGGCCTTCTGGAAGAGCAGTCTACACTTTCAGCCACTGAGCCATCTCTCCAGTCTGGTGGATACCTTTTAAAATTTCCTTGGAAGCCAGAGCAATTTCATAAAATGCCTTGAGTCCTCCTCATCACCGCAGCCACTGTCCTTGCAAATAAGTTTGGGGCAACTTTTGATTTAACCTGAGGGTTTGGGGTGTTGCAGCAATGCTCTAAGGCCTGACATCCACGCAACAGACAGACTCTGGCAACTAGAGGCTCTGCGTGGGATCTAGGATTTGCTTTCCAAGCTCAATATTGGTACAGACACACAGTTTGTAAATGTAATTTACTCTTTTTAAAAATTATAATTTACTATTATTGTTGTTGTTGTTATGTGTGTGTACTATGGAATGCATATGAGAGGTTAATTCTGTTAAGTCAGTTCTTTTCTTCCACTTGTAACTTACTCTTCTAGAGTGAAATATCTCTAGAGAGAAATCTGGCCCCTGTGTGTATGTATGCATATATACATAGATGTGTATATCACATGCTACCCTGTGCATGGTCAGCCCTCTGTACATGGGACCCACCAACCATGCATCAAAAACTCACTCCTGCACCAAGTATGCGCAGACTGTCTGGTCATTTTTCTCTAAACAGCAGCAGTGACTCTTTGCACAGAATTTATTTTCTAATAGGTTATTAGTCATCCAAGAGGACTCAGAATATGTGGGACAACACATATAGGTTCTATGCTAGGCATTTTATGCATGGGGGTTTGAGCACTTGCAGATTTTGGTGTTGTTCAGGGCCTTCATGTATGTGACTGTCAGTACCACAGTGTTTGTGGAATGGATGCATACATGGAAATTGAAGTGCTTAGGAACCCCAGGTGACGGAATGACACATTCACTTCCACGCACACCCAGCTCACTGTGTTTTTGGTGTGCACCCCTTTGTCAGCTTATAGACGAGGAATCCAAAGCACAGAGAGGAGAAGAAACTGGCTCGCACATCTGTGCACGTGGGTGGCTCAAACCCAGTCTCCCCGACTTCTGAGTTGGTGTCCTCACACAGTGCCCTGTCAGCCTGGCTAGGCTGTGTCTTGAGTAGGTGGAGAGTGCAGATCTGGAGTGTTGTCCATCTCTCTGCACTGGGGCCTATTTCTTTTCAGCTTAATCAGATCATATTATCTTTGGGGGACAATGTCTTCCTCTTAACTTTTGAAATGACACTTGTCACACACCCCAGGCTCCTGAGCCAGCATGTATGTCGTGGGGAGAAAGGAGGTGGCAGTGGTGGGTTCCGAAAGCTGGGTGTTCTGGGTTTCTTTAGTAATGGGTGCTACTACTCTGGGGTATGGCATTTGATAATACGATGTTGTACCTGACAGGACACAGCAAAATGCAGTCAGTGCCCGTGTCTGGGGGCAGCCCATTGAGACTGGCACTCTCCCGGGCCTGCAGAGCCAGCATGGTCTCTTACCTTCCGGGACCCCGTGGAGTTTCAGTGTGGGAGCCCCACCTATAGACGACACCTCAGGCCCAGGCATTAAGGTGGACTCCTTGCATTTCTGTCCCTCTTTGAACTCACTGCCATAACTATTAGCTTTCTTCAGTGACCTAAAAACACCCTCGTTTCCAGTAAGATTGCAACATTTCCCCAGATAGAAACTGAAATAAAGGAAATTAACAAAAGTAGACTCCCTCACCCCTACTCTAAGATGGCAGAATGAGTAGAAACCACAAAGTCCTCCTCCATGAACTGAGGTGAATAAAACCATTTATGGACAGGCACTGTTTGGGTGGTAAGTCTCATGGAGTACCCAAGTGGAGTTGGTGGAATGCAGTCACGCTAAAGAGAAGCTGTGTCCAACATGTTGGCACCTTCACAGGGGTGGGCTTCATGAACTCCATCCAATTTGGGGAGTTTCCCCTTGCACACCCAGGACTCAGCGAGGAATACAGGAGGATTGCTCCCCAATAGTCCCCACAGCTCAGCAGGAGGGCTCAGCTCAGGAGCCAGCCTGTGTGCCTTGCACTTCCAGACCAGCTCTACCTTTTGTGTCACCGGCCAGGCACTGAGCAGCCAGGAGGTGTGAGGGGACTGAGAGGTAGCTCCCACGTGAGAGTCTGGCTGCTCTGGCAGAGAGCTCGCACGGCCTTTAATTCCAGCTCCGCGAGATCCGACACCCGCTTCTGACCTCTTTGGGCACCTGTGCACACACGTCACATACACACATGCATAAATGAAATAAGCCTTTAAAAAGAAAGAAAGAAAGAAAGGAAGGAAGAAAGAAAGAAAGAAAGTCACCAAAAGGACGATCTCCTCAGGTCCCTGACTCTGAAGGCCTGTTCTGAGGGAGAATTAGGCTAGGGTTCCTCTCTTTCCTTTTGGGTGCTGGGGACAACACCGGGCCTTGAGCATGCTAGGTGAGTGTCCTACACTGGGCTAAACCCTAGCTCTGGGGTCTGAGTCTCCGCTGTCATCACACTGCTGGCCAGAAGCTGTAGTGGCCCAAGGTGAAGGTCATTTTGGGGGTTCAGATAGGAAACTGGGTTCACATTCTGACTTTCATGGGTGAGAAGCCTTGGAGAAGTAACACCGACTCTGCTTGCTTAGCTGTAAAATGGGAATGCTAGCATATACATGTAGACAACTCCTGAAGACTAAGATGGTGTGTGACGTGCTGCAGAGCCTCGCAGGGAGCAAAGGGACAAGCAGCGGACACTTTTCATCGTGCGAATCTGCCACTCAGGCTCCACTCTGGGGAGGTTTGAGATGACAGCAACCTCAGGCCACACCAGTCAAGCCGTCTTTCTCTTTGCCTTCTTCACAGGGCAGCAGCAGCTCAGACTCTCTGGAGGGCCAGAGCTGCGACTATGCCAGCAAGAGCTACGACGCTGTCGTCTTTGACGTTCTGAAAGTGACTCCTGAGGAGTTTGCCGTAAGTGACACGGCTGATATGGGTGGTGGTGCCATCACAGGGTGCTGGAGGGAGTCACTGCTCTGGGTTTCTGCCCAGGTTGGGAAGATGGCGTATGTCTACAGCAGGAGAACGAGTAATGAATAAAGAATGCTTTCGGCAGGCAGTGGTGGCACACACCTTTAATCCCAGCACTCTGGGAGGCAGAGACAGGCGGATCTCTGAGTTCAAGGCCAGCCTGGTCTACAGAGCTGTTACACAGAGAAACCCTGTCTTGAACTGGGTTAGAATTGGCTGCCTTGGGAGGGAGCCACAGTGCATCTGCACAGGGGGAGGAGGAGCAGGGCCCAGCGCAGTTTACAGAGCACACACAGCATGCAAACCGGCACATTTGGCAGGTCTGCACCTGCTGCTGACGCGTTTCACCAAGCCAGAGCCCTATTGCCTGCCCCGCTCCCCGGCTGTGGACCCTGTGCCTGCGTGACTCTTGTGACTCTGCTCCCTGTCACGTCTACTGCCTCTGTGCTCATGTGCCATCCCCTGCAGCAGTAGACAGTGCCATTTTCTTCAGCCTGTGTTTGGTTTCTGGATGATCCCTTGGTGGAGCAGAGCTGGCTTCTCATTTGCCATGATGTTTCCCTCTCTTGGGGTTTTGTTAGGGAGGGGAGTGTTGGCTCTGGGGTGACTTCAAGCCTGACTCTGAGTACTGTTTCAAGGCTGCGTTTCTCTGCAGAGCCATGACTGGTCCCTGGCATGCCATCCTCCTCTCTTCCTTCCTCCCTCTCCCGTCCCCCTCCTCTTCCTCCTCCTTCCCGGCCTCTATAGGGCAACCACAGGTGGACCTTTGCTGTTTGTGTGACTCTGGCTGCCAGCCAGCGGCTTCTTTTGTACTGTCTATATTCCTAGTCTGAGAATCTGAGGTTTCTCAAATGTTGGTCATGGCCTGGTCATTGTCATCATGGCTCTGTTGCGGCCTTCTGTGGCTCTGGTGATGGTTCCTATGACTCTAGCCGTGGTCTCTTGTGGCTTTAGTTGTGGTCTACTGGGCTCTCGTTGTCACTCTCTGGTTCTGGTCGTGGCCTCCCGTAGCTCTAGACATGGCTCTTGTGGCACTGGCTGTGGTTGCTGAGGCTGTGGTCATACATAGCTCCCAAGAGTCTGGTCATGGGTCCCTGTGGCCCTGGCTGTGGCCTGTCGTGACTCTGTGTTACAGTTTCCCAAAGCTCTTGTCTTGATTCCTGTGGCTGTGGGCATGGCCTCTCATGGCTGTGTTTGTCACTCCGGTGGCTCTGATCACGGCTCCAGTGGCTGTCATTGGGGCTTTTTGTGGCTGTGGTTGTGGCCTCCTGTGGCTCCCCTAGCTTTGTTGTGGCTTTAGTAGCACTTTGGTTGTCATTTTTGTGCCTCTGGCCATGGATCTCATGGCTCTGGTGTGGTTTCTGCTCATCGCTCCCGGGCTCTGGCTGTGACTACCATTATTCTGGTTGTGGCACTGTAAAACACAGTCATGATAGGCCACAGCCAGGGCCACAGGGCCTTGGCTCTGTGAGCTCTTAACTGAGGAATACCTTTGGAGCTGACTGTTTAGTGTTCTGCGAGTGCTTGCAGCTGTTCCCTGGCAGAGGGATCTAATGGCAGACTTTCAGGTATCTTCCATCATATGATAAACATTAGCCAACAGCTTTTATTTGCTTATTATGGTCTTGGGAAAGCCTTCCATGAAGACTATGGCTAGAGTGTGAGCATTTAGTGTGGCACTGTTAGGAATATGTATATTCATCATAAACAAAAACCAATTTTTTTCCTTTGGTTAACCAACTAGTTTCCCTTAACCACATAAAGCCGCTTTTCTCTTTGGGGCTGTGGGATGTACAGTGCTCGGATAAGCCTCTTCCAGGCTGTAGCACTCACCCCTGCAGAGACGCCTGTAGTATGTGGTGGAGAGCCATTTCTCTTCAAAGCTTGGCTCAGTGTTGAGTGGTCCTGGCTCTTGGGAATGGAGAAAAGCATAACAGGTGTGGCCATAGGACCCTGAGGTTTGACAATGCTCAGTGTTCAGGCTCTCTACTGGGTGAATCGGTGCCTGGAAACAAGTAGGGGATGGGGCCTGGCCTCGTCTTGTAGGCCCCTGGAGTGTGCCATCCCAGATGCTCCACCCCGCCCTCTCGGATTAACTGACAGGTCTGGATCGGCTGCCCAGCAGCAACTTTTGAACATGTTTGGCATGGAAGTAAAGTATTGTGACACTGGTGACCTGGTGACTTTTACTTGGAAATTTGTCTTGCTAGAGGCTTGCCCTGGACACGGTCTCCTTTCTGGAAAAAACTGAGAGGTAGAAACGGGAGTAGGCCTCTGAAAACCTTCTTTGTGTTAGGAACAGGCATCCCCATCCCGGGCCAGCGCTGATGGTGTTTTCCCCTTGTGTGCACGTGGTGTCCATGGGTGTGTGTGGCGGCCAGAAGGCGATGCCAGGCATCCCTCCCTGCTGTTCTCCATCTCACTGGCCTGGGGCTCACAACCAGACTAGATTGTGGCCAGGGAGCTCCAGGGACCCCCTTTGCCACCCAGGCCTAGGATTAGAGACACACACTGCCATACCCAGCATTTCATGAGCATGCTGGGATCCAGACTCAGGTTGAACAGCATGCACTTAACCCATGAGCCTGTCTCCACAGCCACTGATGTGTCTCATGGAGAACATCTGAGCACTGTTCCCCTGACAGTTTGAGCTGAGGTCAGGATGTGAAACATGGCTGATATGTCCTCATTGTAAAGCTCCCCTGGAAGTTCTGTAGGAACTCATAACAGATGGCACTGGGAAAGGACACATCATCATACCAGCCGGACTCGGGCTCTTCTGAGTGCCATGAATAAACTCCTGGCTCCCACTGGACAGGAGGGACGTGAACTGGAGCCACATGGGAGATTTCCAAGGTGCCCTGAGATGTTGGCTCAAATCTGTTTTCAAGAGGCCTTTCTGCTCCCTATGTGGTGCAATTAAGTCAGGTGGCTAACAACCCCGGGGGTACATATAACAGAAAAGGAGCAATTGCAAGCCGGGTGGTGGTGGTGTACACCTTTAATCCCAGCCCTCGGGAGGCCCAGGATGATGGATCTCTGAGCTCGAGGCCAGCCTGGTCTACAGAGTGAGTGCCAGGATAGACTCCAAAGCTACACAGAGAAACCCTGTCTCAAGAACCAAAACCCAAACCAAAACAAAGGAAAGGAAAGGAAGGAAGAGGAAAGAAGAAGAGGAGGAAGAGGAGGAAAGGAGCAGTTGCTTGCACTGCCCAGAATGGAGCCCTGTGCTCTGCGGGCCTGCAGCACTCACTAGCCACTCTGCCCAGACAGTAAGGACAGGGTATGCTGATGTCACACACCCCTTGCCACCAAGGGAAAGCACAAGAGCTGGGATTCCATCAGGAGCCTCCTTATTCTTGGTGCCAAGCTTCTATCAGTGACAATGTTCCCCTCTGTGCTCTGGGAGGGACAGGATCCTCACTACACACATCCCTGCCCATTTTCTTCCCATCCAACTCTGCGGATTCTATGCTTTTGTCTGTGATCTGTGCTTTTTAGCAACCCAGTGACTTCAGAGCACCTCTGAATTGTGCCAGGGGCCGGCCATAGTTCTGTGCCGATGCCCTGGCTATGCTCGTGGGTAACATACTTTATGTGCTGCCATGTTTTTCCTCCAGTGTTTTCCTGGTGTAAGACCTTTGGTCGCCCAGTGTAACAGCTTCTGTTTCCTTTTCGGTAGAGCTACTTTGGCATGCGAATGTCCAGCCAGGCGGTGGCCTCTGTGCAGGCTCCTGGGCTGTGCATTCGTGTGCTAGTGCAGGGGCTGTCTCTGTAGTTGCATCAGCTGCATTTTTCTTTGCCCTCTCACCGTATGCACACACACAGTGATGGGAGTATTCGTCACATCAGAATTCTGTAGCTCTTATTTTGAATTTCTACCATGTGGACTGCAAGATCTGAATGTGTCTCACTGGCCTGTCTCAGAGGCATGTGGCAACTGACACCTGGCTCCCATGTGACATACAAAGAATTGCTATGATGATGTCTTTCCCCTGGTCCCCACATGAGCTTCTACTTTTGACCCCATTAGTGGCATCAACCTGTCTGCCACTATGGGACGACCCTCCTGTTTTCTTTTCGATCTGTGCAAGAGTAACCCTGACAGAGGGCAGTGGATACGGGGTGGCCTCTACCATAACAGTATTTCGTTGCTACTTCATAACTGTAATTTTGCTACTGTTATGAGTTGTAATGTAAATATCTGATATGCAGGATATTTGACATGTGACCCCCATGAGGGTCATGACCCACAGGTTGAGTCACGTACCTGCCCTGGTGTTTTCTTCTACTACTTTCTGTTTCAAGTCATTTTAATACAGTCTGAATTTTATTACTGATGAGAGACAGAAATAAATTTCTGTGCTGCCCGCCCCACCACACCCCTCCTCATAAATCTGTGCCCACGCCCTTCCCTTTAAAAACGAGATGAACTTCTAGCCTCAGAGCTCACCATAGTCATCTGGGAGATGGAGCAAGGAGTAAGGGAAACATTTTAGTCTGGGAATTTTTATGCTGCTTGTGTTCTTGTTTCAAGTATGAACTACTTTCCTAATTTTAAGAAGTTGTAGATATACTATTCTAAAATGTGTGTGATAGAGACACTATCAATTACTCAAATTTAAATAAATGGTAGCACATGGAAATAAGACGTTTCTTCTGAAGCCTCTGCCTCCCTGAAATTACATGGTAGAGAGCTATTTGAGATGTGACCCCATACGAGGCCCTGAACTGTTAATTATCCCAGCAGCCCTCAGTGAGGAATGGAGTGAAGGGCTGCAGCATTAGGAAGGTGAGAACACTGCTCTAGAGGATCAGAAAGGGCAAGGCAGGGAGTCAGGAACGGACTAATGGGGTCATATCAGACGCTAAGAAGCCCAGCAGAAGAAGTAACGGACTAATGGGTTATATTAGACACTAAGAAGCCCAGCAGAAGAAGCATT